CGGCGACCGTCAGATTTTTTTTCTCTGCTGCTTTTGGCATCGCTGGACTCGGAAGCTTTGCGTCTTCAGCCCTTCAGGCAATTTTCAAAAGTACGCACTTTACTTACTGTATAGTCTAGTCAGAGTGATTATTTACGAAAAGATTTTAATATACATTTATAAAAATAGATAGGTTTGTATTTTTTAACATTCATCAATTCATATTCAAGATTGATGACAAATAAATATTGATATATTTAAAAAAGACTTGCACTCTCTGAATTCTTTTTGCGGTCCATTTTTTATTGTACTAATAAAAATAGTTTTGTGTCAGTGGGTCAAAAAATCAAAAACTATAGAATATTTGAGTTTTATATTTAAAATTTTTATTTTAATGTACAGTTCCCTAACGTTCCTATCAGTAACTTTGTGCATAATAATTCAATCACACTTTGATGCAAAAAATGTTTACAATAAAAAATTCCATCCATCCAAAAGTTTAAATTCTATCAGGTTTACTCGTAGATAGAATTTTTCTGATATCGAAAATAAATGTATCGACGTTACCTACGAGCGTCGATATGTGAACATTAACTATTTTATTTTCATAGAATTTATATATGTATATATATACAATTTTATATACACTTTATGCATAATTAACAACAGTATCTAATTATTTCAAGGGAACGATTTTTTATACACATTTTAATAATGGTAACATTTTAAAATTTGTCAAAAATCAAAAAATGATCATAATAATAAACATTGGTTCTTACAATATTCTCTTAAATGCCTTGGAAGTCGGAGATCATTCATTGTTTTTATCATTAAAATTAATAAACTTACTATCTACATTTAAATCTTTTTTAACTAAATTCTTATCCATAACATTCTGTTCAGATAAGTGTGAACTAGTTTTAATTAAATCATCAACCACTTCATTGTCTTTGGGTAAATTAACAAGAATCCCCTCTGTTTTTTCATTCTGTGTATCTTTTCTTTGTAATTTCTCTTGTTTTCTACAACTTTCAAGATCAACTAACTTACTTTCATCTGTTACATTTTTTTCTTGATTCGTTTGAGATGCACTCTTGATGTTTTCTGCAAATTCCACCATTCGTTTTTCTCTTTGGTGTTTTGAAAGGAGGTCCCTTTTCATACCAGCCTCGTTTATATTTTCTACTATTAATTTTGAATCATTACTTACTTTTGGTATAATGACAGGTATTTCATTGGTTAATGGTTTGATATTCACATTGTTATCATTATTGCTTGAATCATTTTTTCCATTATTTCTAATCACTGAACTTTCATTATTCAACTGGAATGATTTTTTTGTTAAAGCTTTGATTATTTGACTTCCAGATTTATTAGTAGGATTTAAATTATCAATTTGAATCACGTTGACAGGCTGTTTTAAAACTTTTTCGTTATTTTTTGGTTCGGCTATCTCGGATGGTTTTACATTCTGATTTATGACACCATTTGGTTTAATAATATTTTTATCTCTTGCAGTTAGATTTTTCTCTAATTCTGCATCTTTTTTCAAATTTTCATCAACCAATTTCGTTTCAGCTTTTGTATTTTTTAGCGACTCTTCTTTTGAAAATTTTTCATTTTCATTAGTTTTTTCATCAGTTTTAAGTTTTTGAGCTTCAACTTCAACTGCATTTTTTTTTTCAAGAATGGAATTTTCTTTTTCAACTATTTGCAGATCTTTTTTGACATGTTCTATATCCTTCAATATTTTTTTTTGCTCTTGCATCATTTCTCTTTGTTCCAAAATGTGTTTTTGCAGAGTTTTTTCAAGTTGCTCACGTTTTTCAGCACCATCTGTAATTATTATATCTTTATCTGCAGCTAATTCCAATTCTTCTTTTTTTATTGCATCAACTGCTATGATATCATTCTTTGCATCAGATTTTTTTATGGGTTCTTCATTAACATTGTTTTTTAAAGGTGTATCAACAGATTTTGTTTTTTTCAGGGACTTATATGCTTCTTCCGTTTCTTTAACTATATTTTTATCTATTTTATCATTAATTATATTCACAGCGGGTTGAGCAACAATGTTAATGCTATCACTTTTTAATTTCATAACTTCTATTTTTTTATCTGGTTTGGGTAATCTTTCCACTGGAACTGGTGGTTCTTTCCTAGCATTTTTATCATTTTCTGGAATATTAGGAACAATAGGTTTAGATCTACTTGCTGCAAAAGAATTGTAATAAAATTAAATAATTAAACTAACATAATAACAGTTTGAAAGTGACTCACCTTTAGGTATTATTTTTTTATAATCATTGATTTGCTTTACTATTTCATCTGTTTTGATAAATGAATCATGATCAATAATTTTTGGCAAATCATTGATTTGCCTAGGAAGTTTATCTGTAGTACTTTTTAAATTTGATGATTGCTCCATAGCATATAAATTTGCGTAAGTACCCAGAATCATCATCCATACCCCAATAAATACCATTACCTGAAATATTATCATAAACATTAACACAGTATACAAATGCTATTATAAAATGTAATTGTATGAGTTACCTGTGCAAGTAATCTTTCATTTGTATTTTTAATACTTATAGATATGAAGAACATTGCAGGGAAAATCAAACATATAATCACTCCAATTGTGGAACCAACAATCCCAAGAACAAATTCAATGTTAGGAATCAAAATTCCAACTGATAAGGCAACCAATACAATAAGTGAAGTAAGACATCGGAATCTTGTTTCACTGATGTAACTTGCAGCAACATCATATGTATATCCCTGAAGTTAAGATAAAAAAAATAATAAGGACCTTCAATTATTTTATCTATATACTAACTATATTTCCATACAATACTCACTTGTTTAAACAAAAGTGAATTAAGACTTGCCCTGCATGGAAAAATGACTAGAGGAAAACTAAATGCCACAGATAATACAAATCCTATTTTTATAATTTCAGAAGTTAAACTTGGTTCAAAACTCATGAGTATATTTCCTAAAATTAAGTATTTATTGTAATATTAATTTTGAAAATATATTATTAAGGATAAGGATTCATTGAAAAAATTCAACTGTGTGCTGGTCAATAAAATTTTGGCAATTACCTGTGAATGGTTGGGCACAAAACGCTATGTATCCAAATAAACCAACACATAAATAAACTCCAGTGCAAATATTTAAAGCGCCTTTCACTACTTGATTCATTTTTTCTAAAGTAGGATTAGACATTGATTCATAAATTTCAAATAATTGTGTTTGACAAAACAGAGCCAATGAAAAAATTGGTATGCATTGGAGCAATCCGGCTGGCCTCCAAAAGTTTACTTTGTCAAACCAATCTCCTGCAATTATGTGGTGTGTTGACTCCCCAACAACCTATCAAATAATATAAGATGAAGTTAATGATAATGAATTACAAAGTTGATTTTAAAATTTCTTCAGTCAACTTACTTTTAAAACAAAAATTATGTAAAATGCTATTGATGCAGTACTGACACTTGCTAAACTATCAATGTTACGTAAAAGACCTAAAGGTAAAACAATAAATATTCCAGTTGTTATAAGAAAGCTTGTTCTAATATCTTCAGGCCTTTTATCTATGACTCCTCCAACAATTTGAGGACCCAAATCGCCAGCAACAACAAAATACGCTATGCAAGTCCCAAACAAAAATCCTATGATACATAATTCAACTATACATTTTCCCATCAGACCAAATGCATGAAAAGCTAGGAACTCAAAGTTTCTGCGACGAGACATAACTGCTGATTTAATTAGAAAATGACAAGCCAGTCGTGAAAAAATGCTGCTTAACAATAACATCAGGGTGGCTAGAATTATTCCACATTGTTTGAAGCAAAATGGCATTGCCAAAACGCTGACACCAATAATGCTGTTTGCTAAAGTAGTTACGTGAGATATCATTTTCGATTTTAATATTTTGAATACACCTTGAAGTAAATTAAAAACAAATAAGATGCTTCTCTTCTATAACTTCTTTCACCCTCAATAACTTGAAACCTACATTAAATCAAAATAATTGTTAATGACTAAGTATATATTTTGAAAAAGGTTATAAATGTAGATTAAAATTACCATTAATTATTGATCAATGCGATAGAAGTTACTTTAAAAATGATCAGAGCTGTTTTTTAATACTAACTTATCAGCATGCAATCATAATTCATCGCGTTCAAATTGAGAATATTGTCTCGCACAAGTATGACACAAACGCAAGCTGGTAACAAATGTTGCTTCAATATTTCCTCATGATTGTAAGTGCAATTTTAACGGTAACATATCTAACAGATCAAAAATGGCATAACTGATAGGAAACGGAAGTCACACTGCACATTTGACACGTAAACAATAATAACGCGCACATATTTATTTTCGTGTTTCTACTTTCTATATGTCTAATGTCAGCCTCGTGAATCGTGATTCGTGACTGCGATTTGTAGAGCGGTATGTTTACGCGCAGATCGCGCACGAATAGGCAACAAACATAGCAACTTGCAAGCGAAATAACGAATACTGATCCACGCGGTCACGTCCACGTGTACATTATTGTATACTAATGTTAAAAGCATAGAATATGTAATGACCACTACAGAGTAACAAAGATTCAAGTCCTCCAAAATAGGATCGACTTTTTCTTTGTATATTATTATTTTTGATTACTTACAGAATCTTGAACTTATAAAATTTCAAAAAGAGCTTTCTTTCCCCACAATATTATTTGGTTTGGGATTTACTACGTAATTGTTCGTTTATTTTTATGCATAGTACATAAAACAAAATGATTGCGCTTGCGATCATACGTGTTAACTCATTTAATCGGCCATTTTCTCTATTCTAATTAGTAAAATATTTTGACTCTGCGCTAAAATTTTGAAAATAATCCTCAAATTCGTCTCACTTCACTTATAAGGTTTCAATAATGAGTTTTCGTAAAAGTTATAAACTCCAGTTGGAAAGGTACCATTGATTCTTCTTTTTTCTTATAAAAATTACACTTAGTCCATATCCAGACGCTATTTCAGTAAAAACTCAGAAATCTCACAATTATATATGTAGCTGCCTCAAAGAAACCACCCTTATAGAAAAATCATATATTAATAGCATCATTGAAAGAGACACCACCATAAAAATCCCACGATGTTTGTAATGTGCCTGAATTAGAGCATGCATTTAGTCTGTGTAGCATTTCATTAAAAATTAAAAAGTATTGGAGGGAAAATTGCTAGAAGTTTAAAATAAAATGTAGAAAAGGTTTAAGTAAGAATTCAGACAATCAAATATTTTGTGATTATACTTTTTTTTATTATAAAGATTAAAAATGCTTGAGTACCATAAAAATGGACATGAATACTTTCATATAACATTATTCCTTATATTATGAACTTACAGTTGCTGCGTAAAACATACATTAATTAAATTAAACATGAATTTTCAAAAAAATTCTACCTTATTCTACAAACATCTAATCCAATTTACACAATAGAATCACTCATTGCCCAAATAATAAGTGCTTTTTAAAAATCAAAATTGAAATATTCAGTCTGGCAGAAAGCTAGAATTATTCGATCCCTAAAAAATTGTACTATCAAATTTTGTAGGAAGATTCAAAAAAATATGTATAAAATGACAAGAGATTTAGACAACTATTGCATTTTCAGAAAAATTTCAATACAATCAAAGGATTAGTTTAATTTATAGGTGTAAATTAGATTTAATACCAAAATAGTATATTTGCAAGAGTTCCCTCATGATGATACTTATTTTTAGAGTCCTAAACTCTATTTGATTTTTGTATCGATTTACATAAGTAAAATATACACATTAAACAAACGCTCACTATATATACAATGATAGGAAGAGTATGTATAATTATTTTCAAGAAAATGAAACGAATTTAAAACTGATTTGTAGCTTTTATCAATTTTTGGAGTTCACATTTAATCTAATAAAAACTATTAATTTTAAAGCTATCTAGCAGTGAACTTATTAGTTTCAGTTAAAAATTCGTATCAACAATGCTGTGATGAAAACATGAACTTGACAGAAATTCTTGTTGTAAAGACTTGATTTATTTTTACATAAAAAAAATTATGAATGTCATAAATTAACTTAATTTCACAGGGGACAAATTAATTGAAGCCCGCTGCTTTTTGAATATACTTAATTGACACAGAAATTTATTATAATTTCTAAAAAGACAAAGTCTCAATAAATTCGTTTTAATTAAAAAGCACAAATTATAAATTCATTTCAACCTGATAAATTCAACAATTTAATTTAATTGTATAATAAGCAATAGAATATTTCATAAATTGATTCAAAACATTTTTTGTAAAACAAACTATTTAGATGGAAAATGAAAACTGAAGATGAAAACTATTAATCATGGCATCATAGAAGAAATTTTAGTTAATCCATTAAAAAATATTATATTTATTTAATCACAGAGATTATTAATTCATAAAATGTTGAAATATTCTTCTTTCATTATTGGAATATTTGATTTTTGGTTGTGCCAAATATGTTTGAAAATTCCTTTTACTCCATTCAAAAGACATTTTCAACTTGTTGCATGAAATAGAAAACATAAGTTTGGTTGTTCACTAACTGAATTTAAGAGTCAATTACTTTTAAACTGTGTTAAAAAATGGGGAAAATCTCGTTTCTGAGTTGAGAAAAAACATAAAATGAATTTAAATAGAGCTTTGAGAAATTTGAATTATTACGATTTTAAGCCATTCCGGCTACTTTTAATAGAGAATCAAGCACTGCTCATACCATCTTTTTTGTTTTCATCGTTGTTTGTATTCGTCTTTTCATCTTTTTCAATTTCTGAAAAGTAGAATATTGTTATGCTTTAGTTCTGCAATAAATTGCAAAATATGTTAAAAAATATAGTTATTAGTACCTGTTTTAACGTCTGGTTTAGATTCATCTTCTTTTTTTACTTCAGCATCAGGATTTTCTGAATTTTTGTCTAACCTTGGTCGTTTTCTAACACCCTTATAAGATCGACTATCTCTTCTCCCACCATCGCCTTCATCTTCACTGTCACTGAATTCATTTTCATGCTGTATTCTTTTGTCTATGTCACGTTGTGGAAGTCTTTCATCAGGATTGATTTTTTCTTCAGCTTCAATATCTTCTACATTTGCTCCATCTTCTGGAATAGCTTGCACTTGTACTCCAGGTGCATGTGGTAACATCCTAAGATTTTCAAACAATCTTGATTTTATTTTTTCCAAATATTCAGGAGTATTTTGATTAGCCATGTTTGATGGACTAATGTGTAACTTGAAGTCAGGACCAAAATATTCAAAATAGTCATTATACGGAAGCTCATTAGCAATTTCTGAACCTAAAGCCACGGAAGTTTCATATGTCCAGCATCTTGATACATTTCTGATGGTATAACCACCACCTCCAACCATGAGGAAAGGTAAGTTGTATTTTTTTACAAATTCAACACATTTACCATGGCCTTTGACAGTTAAATTAAAGCAACCTAATCGATCACCTGTCAAAGAATCAGCTCCACATTGGAGAACAACAGCAGATGGTTGGAAAGTTTCCATGACTTTTGTAATAATCGGTACAAAAATTGATTCATAGCTATCATCGTCCATTCCATCTCTGAGAGGAATGTTAACTGCATAGTACTTTCCTTTACCAGCACCAATATCACGTAAATCGCCAGTGCCAGGGAAGTACTCTCCATACTTGTGGAAAGAGACTGTCATTACTCGATCAGTTGTATAGAATGCCTCTTCAACTCCATCTCCATGATGTACATCAATATCTATATATAAAACACGTTGATGATACTTAAGGAGTTCCAAAATTCCTAATACTATGTCATTAACATAGCAAAATCCAGAGGCTTCGCTCTTTTTAGCATGATGAAGACCTCCACCCCAGTTGATACATATCTCAGAAGCTTGTTTATTCAATTTAACTGCTGCAGCTACTGATCCACCAGCAGATAACTGACAAAACTCATATAAACCATCAAAAACAGGACAATCTTCCCCAACATTGACTGTAAAATAATAAAATATAAATCAATATTCAAAGATCTATTTTACTTTAATAAATATAAGCATAAAATAAGTTAATGGTCATACATCTTTGCATTTGCTTGTTGTACTCTGTCATATTATCTGGTCTTATTGACCTCAAAAATCTGATGTACTCATCACTATGAAATTTAGTCATTTCATCAGCTGTGGCTTTGTGAGGACGCTAGAAAATATTGAAAAAATACTTATTTTTAGAATAAATTAGAATAAAAATACATTATTACATTACATGCTCTAATGGAATTTATTTATAAAACTTCTTTGCTTAATGTACTTACATATATCTCCATTTTTCTGTAAAGTCCGTAATTTAAAAGTAAATTGTGGGTCATCCTTATGCGATGCGGTTTCATGGGATGACCTTGCCCATAGTAATAATTTCCGATGTCACCTTTAATTAAGGAATAAAAATTTTAAATGTGAACAATATATCATTAATAGAACTATTGATTGATTCTAAGAACAATTATCAAACGAGTCTGTAGACTCAAAATAAAACTTATGCATGAGAAATAAAATACATGACTTTTATGTAGGGATTTTAAATAAACTGATTTTCATGAGTATATATTTTCATGCATTGACTACGGCATAACCTTTATGTTTTTTTTCGACTTTTCTCTCAATTTTCTTTATTATTATTGAAAATAAATATGAACCATAAATATATTTAGTTGATGACTTTGGCCTTTGCAAATAGTATAGCCATAAAACGATTTAATGTCATAAGCATTTGAGACGTTGAAACAAACAATCAAAAATATTCATTACATTGACAAACTTTTTGAAATATTTAAGAGTTCCTTACTTAATTTGTCATTCATAACAGACAAATAGTAAAAATGGAAAATAATTTAAATTAATCAAGATGTTAATGCATAATATTCTTTTAAAAATTTTGCGTCGACAGATTCTCAGCTTGACGCTTGCTTTATGGCGCGTCTATTCAGTAATAAAATAATCATAATAATATCACGCCACGAAGCTTGGTGCTGAGAATCTCTCGATGTTAATTTTTTCAAAACATTTGTAGCTGGTAAAAAACGTCTTTGAAATAATTCTACACTCTCCTCAATTAAGTAGTGATATTTCAAGTAAACTAAAGCTAAAATAATGTGCGAAAATAGCTTTTGATGGAGAATATAAGAAGTGACAAGTTTTTATAGGTTAAGATGTGTTATGAATTTGAAAAGTCTAGCATGAAAATAAAAAATATGAAAATAAGTACTCACTGTCGTAGTAGTAACAGACTCGTTTGCGACTATGCTGCATTTGCGACATTTTGTCAAGCGATATTTATTGTAAGCGAATAATCCGCAATAACTGGCCAAGGTGGCCCGGCGTCGTGATAAGTGCTGTGCAACACAGCAGCTGACGATACTACACACTCCCTACGCTATAACAGCTTGTCCAGCAATGGACGCCACCAAATGCTCGAAGCCTATGCAAGCCTATGCGAGGAGAACGTTGAAAGGTGGATGGATGTCTTACGCCTGCGCAAAGCAAAATAATTTTCTTCGTAGTTCGTAAAGTAGTATTGGATACATCGGCGTCCAGCGACTCGTCAATCGGTAAAAAACTGAATTTTGACGGCTTTATATTTGCACATCTTTTGATTTTTCACCGTTTTTATAGATGAACCTACCGGATTAAATTTTTTTAAATGTTCTTATATATTCAAATTATATTCGTTAAATTAAAAAAAAAAATTAATAATTTTTCGGAAATAACGTTCTCAAGTTAATACATCGATAAGAACTTTTTCGTAATTCATATGAAATGCTCTTTTATTTTGCAGTATAAAGGAAAAGTAAATATCCGTTAATTATTACTTTTCAAAACAGTTGCAATTCGAAAATCATGTTATAACAGGAATAGACGATTCGTATACACTTTGAATGTAGAGTTTAGTGAATAGCTTATAAACCGTCACAAAAACGTTATGATTTCGAGTTTGTTCATTTGCACGCGGCGGTTCAAGTTCAAACGTATCTCTAATTGATTCTCGCAGATTTGACAGAACGCTTATAAATAATTTAACAAAATTCTGGAAACAGTTGACTTGTGAGATAATTGTGAGTGTTGAAACAAGTATTATTTTGAACCAGAAATTAAACAAGAAAAATAAGTGTCGTTATCAATAATACGTCTTGCAACCAAGTAAGAACTTCATTTTCGAAACTTTTCAGTTAATAATAATTATGTTATTTATGCATATTCTCATTTATAATTATATTTGATTATTCTGATACCAATGTTCCAATTTCATAATAAAATTGTAGTTGTTGGGTTAAACAATAATATTTTAAACAAAATTTATAATTCAACTACTCTTTATATTAAACTGTTGCAATTCACACTTTTTTATACCAAAATATTGGAATGTGAAAAAGTAATAATGAGTAAAAGTTGCAAATAATTCATCTTCATTATATCTGAAGTAAGCTTCTAGCTTGTGCTTAACTGTATGCAATAAACAACACATAGATATTCCTTGACTTAACTTCTCTTCTTGACAAATGAACATTTATTCGAGTTCCTTCATTGATTCGATATGGTGTTATCAATTGGTATTAATTAACCAAATTTTTGTTGATTTTCCAAGTAAATTGACTCTCAATAATCCAATCAGAATTGCTAATAGCAATTTTATTCAAAAACAAATTATTTTGAGCCTAAATGTAATATATTATAGTATTTTGTGAATAATTCCAAAACTTGAAACTAGATTTACTAAATCTTAATTGTATGACAAAACTAAGTATATATAAGACATAAATTTTATTATACAGTTTTAAGATTAAGTTATTGTATCGCAACTAACTGAGAGTATTAATAATTTTAGACAATATTCACTTTGCCCAGTGGTTTTATGTATAAAAAGCCATTCAATCTTCTCCTTGTATAAAGTGTTTGTCTTATCTTTTTTCTTATAAATATAAGGATCTGATATTATATTTAATTATAATTACATTTTTAATTATAAAGTATAATAAACTGGTATTACCTTAGATTTTTTATAAATATTTATTATTCACAGTTAGCATTTACGATTATATATCAAATGCATTTGATTGATCCCAGTTTAATTTTATTTAGTGTTGTTGCATCATGTTAGCATTAAATCTAAAATGGCTAACTGATACAATTTTAATATTTATTAATTTTAATGACTATAGTAATGAATGTTTTTTAATTAAATTGAGCAATAAATAATTTGCTATTTTACACTTTTTAAGAATTTAATTGCCAAATTGTTAACATGTGTATCATTTCAATTTTGTATACGCTAAGTTTCTATTCAATATCCTTAACAAATGACTAAATTTAACTTATTGTAGATCAACTTTTAGTCAAGTTTTTTAAATATGTTGGCTGTGTTTGTGAGTATTTTATCAGTGAAAGTTAATTTCATGATTCTATGAAATTATCAATACTTTTTTTATTGATTGTTTAATTGTCTAATGTAGTTCTTGTTCAAAATTTATAACAATAGTACAAAAAACTTGTAAAGTTCTATAACCTTAGCTGGATATGAGGTCAATTGAAGAAATATGAAATTGGCAAAACAAAATTAATAAATTTTATTGAATTTTACTCACAACGAGTCCTCCCCATTTTCGAATCACAGATTTTTCCTAAAAAATTTTGGGAACTCTTGATACTTATCTAATGATGAAGTTCCTTACATTAGTTGATCCCTAGCCCTTGATGCCCAGTTTTAAAATCATTTTCTCTCTAATTAAAAATTTTTGCGATGTTCCAACTCAGAAAAAAACGTCTTTAACGAAAAAATTTTCAAAACCAGATAATTCTAGAATCAAACAAAAAAGTCGTTTAAATCTTTTTGTAATTTTTTATCTATTTTCACCTATTTTCAGATGTCTAAATTTGACGTGTTTCTTAGGGATTTTAGAGACCTCTTAAAAAGGTGATAGAAAATCTTGAAAATTCTAAAAAAATAATTAAAAATTGATAGTACATTCTAGAAAAATTGTAATAAAATGCTCTTGCGTCATTTGATCGTCGATACATTTTCATTTTCTTGACGATAATCTTTATAATCTTTTTCGTCGTCATGAAGATAATTCTTCTTTTTTTTTTTACTCTTTGAAGCTTTCTTTTTTTTGTTCAAAGATTGTTTGATTTTTATCTCACATTCTACTTTTTGACGACACTCAATTCTTTGCTGATGTAAGTATATCTAATTGTTGTCAATATAGCACCACTTTTACATTCTATTGTTATTAAACAATATGACTAAAAATAAAAATCTCTCACATCATAAATGGTCATTTTTGCTATTAAACTATTATTTTGTGAAAATTTATTTTACTTAAAAAACCTTGCATGGTTCAAAAAATTGTTTATTACCTCAGTTTAGGAATATAATTACTTTATCCTTTTTACAATTTAAACTTCGTCTGTTATAATTGTTATAATATCCAAGAATATGATTCGTGAAGTTTTAGATGTTCAATGTGGTTTTTTATTTTTTCTGCGCTGCAGTTTTCTTCCCACCTTGTTAATCAAATATTCAAAATATCAACGTAATTTTAGCGCTAGTTTCTAAATAAATTTTCTAAATTTAAGTACTTTTCTTGTAATTTAATTTGAAGTGAAAGAAATTTTGATTTTCTATCAATTTTATAACATTAATATCCAAATACAAATGTAAATGGTTAGTAAAAAAAATGTAGACCTTGTTTTTGCTTTAAGACCTTGTTTTCTGTAAACATCAAATTTTCACGGGTCGTGAAAAAGGACTTGCATTGACCATGAGGAAGCGTACGTAGGCTCGTATTACAATCCTTCTTTTTGCTAAAAAAAATCATAACTGCACCCGTTGACAGACATACTATTTTCATCTTGGCCGCCGGGACGAAAAAAGTTAGTTTCGGCTGGGGCAGCATGAAAAAATTATGAAAGAATTGTGGTCTCAATCATTGCAGTAGGGAGCGTGTAACGCGTTCCTCCATTAATCTGAAATGATAAGGAAATTTCGAATTTGATATTTTTTATTTATGTATTGTCTTGGTATTTTTGTAAATTCAATTTTCTTTTATTTTGATGGAACCATAACAAAAAATGGGTTATTTAAAGTTTTCTTTATTAGGAGTCAGATTACAGGTACAGATGAATTTACAATTTTTTTACAATACAATCTCTAGTTCTATATATATTTTATTTTAATCGACTTGAAGTTTTTTTAGTACTCTTGTAAAGTATTAAAATAAATAATGATCAATCTTGTCATAAATATATTTGAATAGATTTTTTTTTATTTAAGAGCATTTTGTATTATATCTCTCTATACATTTTCTATTTAGTTGAAATTGTACCAACAGCTTCGTTTGTTCTATTTTTTTATTTATTTGCTTTTTTAAGTATAATTTGTAGATCAAGACTACGTATAACTCATCATACTTATCCCACAGTTAATTTAAAGCGAAAACCCTGCAGGAGTTTTGCGGATTTCGTAATTTTTCTCTAAAGACAGTGCTTGATTAATTTTACAAGCTTAAAGATTTAATAATTTGCGATGTCAATCATTTTTATCCACTGCAACAGAAATTTTTTTACATTGGAATTATTCATCCTTACAAATTAATGATAATATTTTTTCATGCTGCACCCTGTAGAATGACTAGGATAGCAAAGTATGAAGGTCATGCAACATGTTCTTTTTAATTATATTTAGAAATTAAAAAAATTGTATCAAAAGAATCTTTTTTGGTTTTAAACCAAAATTTTTAAGAATGTCATTTCACACAAATGCAATAGCATTTCCAATTTGGCAGTACTTATTCATACCTGATAACTAATCATTTATGTAGCGAAATATATCATTTTGCTAAACGCACTCAAAGCAGTTGCTACATATTCTACATCCCCGAAGTTTATCACATTCACAAACGTTTAATTTTAGCAACTGTAATCATTTTTGGATAGTATTCACATAAAAAATATTCAACACAGATTTTTAATATTTAATACACCGACCCAGTATAAAATATCACTACAGTTTGGTAATTATTATAACCATGAATGAAGCAATTTAATTTAAATACTTTTTGAAAGAGTACCTTGAATACTCTGTACGAAAACAAAGTTCAATTGCATATTCAATAATATGAAAAATTGATTGTATTTGGATCCTTAAGTTAAATATCATAAACGATTTTCAATAAAAGGTTTTTTCAATAATGAATAGAAAATTCTCTAAGAACTATGAAAAACGTATCAAATTATAAAAGTATTTATTTAATATAATTGTACCGATAATATAATTTTTTTATCTGCAAGATAAATGACATCTCAAATTTCAAGTGGAAATTGGGTTTCAATTAACATTACTAAATTTCGGAGGTTAATTTTTCACAACTTGTGGTTCAGAAGTCGCCTTCAACAAAACTCTCCAAAATATTTACTTTCTTATTTACAGTTGGCTTAAGTTAAAAAAAATATTAAAATGTTCATGTACGTCTTATAAACGTGACTTTCATAAATACCTTCAATATTATATGTCTTACACTAATATACATATAATATACATCACAATATGTATCGCAATAAAATATGTATCATCCTGGACTAGAATCTATGAAGATACATACATTCAAATTCTAGTTCATATAGATTTATATAAACACAAATTTATGTATTTAAGAAAGTCACGTTTATATTTGTGTATAAATACTCAATTTTTTCGTAACTTCAGTCCACCATAAATAACAAAATAAGCATTTTGGAGCGTTTTACCCATGTAGACTTTTGATCGATAACCTACTCTCCAAAATTTTAGAAATATTGAGTGAAACCCCTTTACTTGTTCACTTGAAATTTTAGTTCATTTCCTGGTTTGCAATAAGGTTTTATCTATCGTATTTAATTTGTTTGTAACTTAGTCCTATGTGAATTCGATTTTCTGCCAGTGATGTTAGATTTCATCGAGGATCTGCGTAGGCCGAGAATAAATAAAGAAGCAATTTAGTTTGCTTACTTTCAGAGAAGTAAAAATATTGAACATTATTTTATAATATATTGTTACAAAGTCCGATAGACTTTAAATGTTTTTCATCACAGAATTAATATATTTTTAACTGTTAACCATTGAAAATATCAATTTTAGTAGTTCTTTACCCAGAAAAATCGGTTAAAAAAATTAAAAATTAAAAATCAAATTTGACCGCTAAATTCCAAGAAGACTTAAAATAATAGAATCCAAAATATTCCTGCAAATAACTACTTAGCCACCTAAAGCACCAAAACATATTGAATTAATTAAACTACATGATAGATTTTAAATTGCTTATGCAAGAATAAATAAAACTGTTTGAGCTACACGGATATCGGTCGATTTTCTTGACATTTTTTATTAAACATTTTATTTTCAGCCATTAACTTTAAAAAATTTTAATTCCAATTAAGTTTGGATAACAGAGATTCGATTTTCTTTTCGATCTTGGTAAAAACAGCATTGATATGGACCATTGCGTTTAATTTAGTTCATTTACATTGAAATGAAAATCTTTTCGATCTCTGGCAGGAATGATATATTTCTATTTGTGTATCACATATTATAAATTCAACAACAAATTATAATCGAGCGTCGAGAGAAGTCATAACAAAAAATAAATTATTCAATCCATTCATTGCTGGGATAAATATTCTTTGTTCTCATTTCGAGTAGTTGATTACTTTTTAGAATCACCCAATTAGTATAATATATTAACTTATGTATCATTCTGATTTTTTTGGAAGGTGTTCGTTTATTTGGTCTTCTACTTCATTAACGTATTGGATAATTTTGTAATGGTTTCGTTACCATGAAAACATTTCATAAACTCTTTCGAACTCTTAAGTTTTTAGAAATTAGCAATTATAATAATAAATCTGTCTTCCAACTCTAATTATAATTTTTTAAATTACAATATCAAGAGATAAAAATCGATAACGCTCGCGACAAAAGTTAACTTAAAAATTATATCTAAGTTCATACAAAAGTTCATGGCAAAAATAGGATTTCTAACAAAGTAAATTATAGGGCACGATTCTGATTGAAATATTACATTAAAAATGCATCACATTGAGTGCCCATCATTAAAAAGTACACAGCATTTTACGGAAGATGCATTTTGAGAGCATCTATCGCACAGTGCGAACGAACTGTAAACGCGCTGTGCCTGCACAACATGGAAAGCTTGTGACTCGCGCTACACAAATATATATATTTATAGTTCATGAGCAGAATAATTTTCGTACCCACTGTTTATAAACTTAGCAAATAATAAAAATACGACGACGATAATAAAACTTGCGTAAAAAATTATCGCGGGAATCAATGGTATATCGTGCAGCTTTTGAAGCTCGATTTATACACGACTTCTTGTCTTTGTATTCTTCTTTCTTACAACTTTTTATCTCTTTTTCTCTTCCTGTAGCGATTAACGCACTTGCTCACAATTTATAACTTACGTACATACTTTATACACATTGCTTCGCAATTTTCACTTTCTCATGCATATGCAATTATCGCAGTGACAAACAAAATACAACCACGCGTTTATAGTATACCCTGCAATGATTCATGCAGCACGGGCTTTTTAAAGTTATTTTCTCAATATTTATAATATACATTTAGTAGTAACGTAGAAGTGCATTTTTTTAATCGTGTATTTATAATTAAATATACTTATAGACTCTATACTATATAGTAAGTATTCACAGAGAGAAAAATTTGAGGAAGGTTTGTGGTGGAATGGGCACGTGAAGAGAGGCTCGATCGACGTCGGCAAGTTTCTCCTGAAAGGCCGGATCTTGATCTGCGATGCACGGATGTCCAAGCGATCGCCAAAATAGACAGCGACAATTTCGACACAGCTGTATCATTTCCGCATATTCTTCTCGTAGCCCGTAAGACCTTAAAATAAAATGCGTATGTTCGATTGCGGGTTAATCGAGTTTGTTCGCCTGTACTGGTTCGATCATTTGAACTTCATCACTCGATAAGAATATTTTTATTGTGTTATAAAGATCGATAAACGAAATAGTACGCACGTACCTCCGGGCAATAGTAAATATACATTTCCAGTCTTTGTCGGGATTGTTTCGTCGGGCAGTGGCGATCTGCAATGGCGTAAAGTGATACTGGGCGAGTTCCCGCCAGATCCTTTGCTCCTGTGCCAGGACGGCTAAGTGTTCGCAAGCCTCGGACGATGCCTCGATGTCCCGGGGATCGCTCAAACGCAACAACACCTCGCGTCGACACTCGGCTGGTAGATCCGACCATTGAGGTTGTTGCTCTTCATCCGGCTGTGGCGAAAAACATTTCATTAAAATACGATCGTTCGAATTTTTCGTACCTGTCTATTTCATATCTAGCAATGAGAGAATTTAAACATAAATAATGGCTCTGTGTACCTGAGTAATTTGGATGGAGGATGCGATGTGCAATATTCTGTCCAAAGCCGCTTTGTGTTTTTCCCATAAAATTACTGATCCTAGTGGTCTTCCACCCCAACAGCAACCTGCACTAAAAGCTCGAACTCTTTCGATAAGTCTGCGCAATCTTCCTGTTTGCTGTTGTGATAAGGACACTGAAACAAATAGAATAATGATTAATAGTCTGAAGACACATTTATTATTAATCAAAGAAAGCTTAGCTTTATCAAAGTACACGCTTATTGTTAGTTCATGCATGTAAAATCAATAATTTATAATCTTTCATTGCAATATAGAACTGTTGTATTGTTTACCAGCAAGCTCTGGCTTTATGATTTCATTATTGTTCTAACGTCAAATCAAATTTGAATTCTGCTTTGACCATGATTTCTCGTGCAGTAATTAATACGAAAAACTTATATAATGACAAAAGATAGAGTTCACATACCTTCTAACGCTACCTCTTCAAGCATATTGAAGAGTACACGCTGAGCGCAACCGCTGAGACCACCCATTCGGTGGCTGACCAACAGATCGAGTAAGCGAACGATGTAGTTAAAACGCCGACAGTCGTGGACCGCTGACAAGAAATCGAGCCTCTTCAACGCGTCACTTAGCCCGTTAAAACCAGCGATCTGCCATTAAAATTAATTAGTCTCCTCGTGCGTATGAATATTACAGGGTCTTTAAAAAAAAAGCTACGTAACATACAAAATCTGTCGCCTACGATAAACGATTTAGTTAGGGCGGATGATTAAGTTTTTCACACGAAACGAGTTCGATTCACATGTAATAATATCCCGCTAATTGCAATATTGGAATATCGAATTTTTTTTGTTATTAGTAATTGTACTCCTGATATTGACAGCAATTTAAATGAGCTTGCATAAAAAACAAGCATTCACGGTATATAATAGACTAAGAAAAATGATTTGAAATATGCGGGCAAAGTACGAGTTGTAGAGTACTTTCTCGTTATCGCAAGTGTTTGAAGAGTTTATTCAATTATCTGAATAATATGGATGACATTTTTTCAAAGAAAAACAACCACTGAGTAAACTATGTACAAGTCAGTTTTATAAGTTACTTACTTCTCGGGTACATTTCAATGTGATGTGACAGTGTGGCTGGACGGCATCTTCTGCATTGACAATTAAAAATATTATTAAAAAAATACAAATTTAGACAAATTATCAGGAATTAATTAAAAAACCAACCTTTTTTTTTGTCTTTATCTTTTTCCTTTTCTCTTTTATCGCCGTTAGATTCGACTCTAGAAAAAAACCGATTTTTGAAATCAAATATATGCTAAGTAAAACATTTTTATGAAATTCAATTTTTTCCAGATGAACACTAATATAATAAAAAATATCAATAGGCCTTATTTCTCCAGGGATTAAAAAAGATGTAAAATTTAAAAGAATTGTATTCAATTTTTGAAAATTCTATTTTTTGTTGTTTTTCGGGTTTTTCAAAAATGCTGAAAGGTGAGGGAGAGTTTTATTTTCATGAATCGACGAAATATTTGTAATGCTATTCAGAATCAATCGTCGAAAAATGTTACACTTTTTTAAATAATTTTCGCAAACAATAGGAAATAATAAAACTCAACGAGTACTGATTTCCAGCTATGACATCACACTTTCTATAGTAATGAGTGATAAAGAATAATTATTATAAATAGGGAGACATAAAAGCAGACAAAATTAGTACGTATATCTATAGCTAGGAAGAGTTGCTAGCGCGCAATCATACGGCCGTCGACCTTAGTTTTATTCTCATTCATTTTAATACATATAACGTGTGCACGTATATATCGTATTTATTGTGTATATTCGTGTGCACATTGTACATACATACATACATACATGCACACAAGAAGCAAGAACGTCCAAGCGCGGAACATCGTCGTCGTGCAAGTGTAATAGTGTCAAGCGAGTCGGCGCAAGCTTGACGAACCCTTTTTCTTCATCGTCTTATAGACATGATTTTATTATTATAATCGCCTCTAATTTTGTAGTCGTATCATTTGCGGTTATTTTTTCTATCCAACACTGGCGGGTGGTACGTGCATACTACATATCAGCGTTATAACTGTGCTGCTGTAGTTGCGCGCGTATGTAACGTTTACATATCAAGTGCCACTTTCCTTCTATCGATCGACCTACTAGGCTAGTCCTACCCATATACTTCAGAGAACATTCAAAACGCAACAAGTGCAGAAGCAGCAGCTGCAGCAGCACATCTAAGTGTGCACCTATGAATATCCCAAGACTATACGCTGTAAAGTTCGGCTTGCTTGGCTTTTTGCTTGCGCTTCTTTTTATTTTTGTTTTGTTCATTTTGTCGAGGGATAAACCTAGGTGGTTGCTGAGAGTGGATTGATTTTTTCTCGTGCATCAACTTGTGTCGCGACGAAGCTGTCACTTGGTACGTTGTGCAGCTACACTTTATCTCATATCACTTGGTTCACAATCCCGATAACAGAAAACTTTGTTTTGAAACATATCATTGATTACTGAGCAGTGCAGACATAAAACGCAAATTTGAACAAGCTATGAACATTTTTTTTAATGAGACGATACCTATTTTTGAACCTCTCAGAAAAGCTCAAAGTAATGGAATAGAACCTCATTCAAGATACAGCTAGCAACAAGTGCTTCATTATACGTGTGGCAATTGCGGAGCTGGAACACATAGCTTATAGCGCATCTCGTGCTGAGCTCGAAAAAAACAGTCAATGCACAGAGGTGCATTCGAAAGGAAAGCGAAAGAGAAACATAGCACGTATCGGCTACATTCTCACCGCAGTCGCGCGGCAAAAAATGCAGTCCCATGCGTGCGCGCCCGCAGTGAGTAAACTCACTCGAATGCCAGGTTAAAATGAAAAATGTCGATCGAAGGGAACGAGGAGGGAATTTTTTGCCTCGTTTTTCCAAGAACTACAAGCGCGAGAATAGTCAACTCTCTCATGGTCATGCAGCGCTCGCTCAAGTCACGCGTGGGTGATGTACAACTACGTTCGTTTCTTATACACATTTTATGTATGTGTTATATGCGCGCAGATGTGCAGCACGTATTGCGCGGACCAAATACACGTCGCGTAATTGTGACTTTTTGCTGCTGTGCTGTGTGCACGCTGCGCGAGACACGATGATTACTGCTATGATTATTGTGACGATGAGTGAGATGGGCAACTCTTTATTATCGAATGATTTGCCTTTGTCTGCAGTTCTAGTCCGTGTCTTTTTGTATCATTACGTTGCGCGGCGGGTGCGCAATAGCTGCCTCAAATTCGCGCATTGAAAATTGCTCGTGATTCTGCGTTGTTCTATGACATTAGATGCATCTAGTTGACTGGTCTACTGTCGGTGGCTTCTATTACCGTGCACGCGCAGACTCGAACCGGAATAATGTCACGAGGCTCGATGCTTTAAATTACCGAAAATAATTCGAGCTCTCGCTTACGCATTGGTTCAACGACTGATCGGTCTAATATTAGCTACTGATTTTACTTGTTTCTTCGAATCTTTTGTGTCCGTTCTTGCGAGAGACGAAGAAGTTTATCTTCAGAATTAACGAAAAAAAGAATATCATAAAAGCTCGTGATAGCTACGAAGCGAAGACCGTATCAATATGTCGATATCACGACGCGCATTTCTGTAACATACTCTCGTATCTTACTTGATTTTTTTTTCATTTCAATAAAATTGCGCAGTTGCGATTTGAACTCTTATCCCCGATTATTTATATACGTAAGAGCTTATATACATACGTGCAGTTCCTTTTACGTAACAGCAATGCGAGAACATGAAAGGGAAGTGGAATCCACGCGAGCGAGTGTACACTGCGACATCGCGGCTAGGCTGCCGCGTTATGTATGCATCGTGTGTACTTAGTCGCATAAAAGCTCATTAGAGAAAACTCGAGCCGATTTTTTCCAACCGCAATAAATGGCAACGCAACGTTTGGCAAGATAAATTTAAGCACACGTGGTTTCTTTTACTGATCTTCGTGTACTATTAATTTACTATGTTATTGGACCATTTGTTGTTAGTTTCAATTTATAGTTGGATGAAATCATTTAATTTTAATTAACTGTATATATTTCGTATTCAAAAGAAGATTCCAAATCTCTTTTCATCAACCTTGAAACTTGCTCTCAAATAGAAAATAGTTAATTAGAAATATAGACAAAAAGCTGAACTGCCTTTCAATAATCTCCCAAAGTAGTTATTTTGATTATTAAGTTTCATCTTCTTTCAGTTAAAAAAAAAAGTTTGAAGATAGTTTATCAATAAATTTATCAACTAATATTATTGAATTATTGAATATATTTTGACCATTTCTTTGATCGTGGGTGGAATATCGTAAAAAATATAATATTTAGTGCCCTAGTGAAACTGCGTCCTTGTTGAACGGTGAAATTGACTCACATATTTCGTAAGCCAATTAACTTGGTAATTTATTTAAGCTTCCTTGTGATGAACAGACATCGCCAGGGGCTAACCATTAAAGAAAGTTAGAGCTTATGATGACGCGCCGCTATAAATTTAAAAGAAATGTTGAGATTTTAACAAATTTATCTGTTATTATTTGTATGACATATAACTAGACTTTAATATGTGCGCGCTACGCGCGCATGGAACTCTTATGAGTATGTCATTTAATATATGAAAGATATTATTAACTACAGAGGGCGTATATAGATGACACTAAAATATTTCTTGTACTCACATGAAGTTGGCTCTAAGAGGGTTCAATTCGATCTATAATCGCAATGGCTCTTATATTAATTAGATTTATTTTTTTGAAATAAAACGATTAGGATTAAAATTATAATTTTATTTGGAAAAAAATTACAAAAATTATGAAAAAAACTGTTGTCTATGCGGGTTCAAAATAGAGACACGATCAAGAGTTTGGTAAAGTGTACACGAGGCAAAAATTTGCAAATCCTCGCACAAAAGGCGTAATTAAAGCCTGACTTTTGATACGCGGATTTCTCTTCTTAGTTTGAAAACTTTTGTTGGTGGATGACAACACGAGTTTTGGCTCTTTTTCAAAAATAATCATCAGAACGGAGTCCTTTACTGGGGTATTAGAGATTATAAATTAAATGTTCATTTTGATGGAATATATCATAAATATGACATATTATATTCAAATGCGTAACTGTTTCAAAATGAAGGTCATATATTCTTGGCAAAGATTTGCATATTGACTTGGCAAAAATTTTACTATTCTAAGTATTTAATATTGCTTCATATAATAGGTCAATGAGTCTACTAGTTCCAAATTAGGATGGAAGAAACTTTGACATTTTTTCCTGATTCTATTTGAAATCTCATATACTTATACTGTTTACTTATACTGCTTGAAAATGCAGTTTCACATTTGAGATCGAAATCGTTATCTTAATTAGGATTTAGTGAAGAATAAAAAGTGTACCCTTTTTTCCTAAAATATAATAAAATTTAAATATGCTTCAATCGGATTTTTTAAAGAAATCGCATAGATTGCAAAGTGTAAAATGCCTTTACGTACACGAACTCACTGAATATTCACGTTACATAATTCTGAGATAGATTGACGCAAGGATAGAAATTATCAAGGTCTTTTTTCGAGGTCTCATACATCTCCATCATTCAAATACTGTGCGTTTTTCTAATTAACATCATCGCTTTGCGGTTTTAAAACTATGGTAGCGTTTTTAAATAGTCTTACTCCGAACTATCAGACATTGCAATTTAAATCTAAAAAAACTTCTATCGTATCCCAATTCCTGAGAGAAACGCAATAGTCCAATTGAACGCATTTTGCTTTTTCAGTGTACACGTGTGCAGCAGCGTGGCTTTTCAGAATGAAAATAGTAACGAAGCACGCACGAAAACCGCGAAAAAAATTCGAGATTATGTATTCATATTGTCCTTTCTAAATCTCTCTCTTTCTCTTTTATTGTATTGCGTGCACGTGTACAAACGGGTACTGCACGAATATGTCGTGCGTGTTGGTATCAAGGACACTAAATAGCACGAGAAATTCACCGCCGCCCGCGCAATTGCCACTGGCTGTTTTTGCTTCGATTTAGTGCATGCGCGATACCATTATGCTATTCAATTTTGAGTGTAATTTAAATTCGTTGTATTGTGAGATAAGTTTTTCATTCAACCCGCGGAAAAATATCAAATTAATCATAAAAGGTATATCAGTCCTAAATTTCGTCAAATCAATTCAATTATTTATTTGACTTTTCTTAATGAATGATCGTAAACTCTATACTCGAGTAATCGTATAACTCAATTAGGTAGAAAAAGCCACTCGACCGCATGTTACGGAAAGGGTCAATGGCTGTTCATGGGTATTGAAATATACGATGCAGCGAGAGATTTGCCGACATAGGTGGAATATAATGTGTATCGAATATAGTCAACGATGCACATACCCACACACATAGGTGTAAAAAAAATGGTCCGATAAAATGGGCACACGTGCGTGTGTGTATATAACACACAGAGGAGTACTGCCTATACGAAGCTTTATATGCTGCTGCTGTATGTGCACAGCTGGGTCGCGACCCACTTTATCAGTGGGTTGCAGGTCACCGCAATATGTATGCAATATCTGTTACTGCATTTGCTCCTACTAGAGGGATACGTTTCTCACTCGGCTCTCATCCAACCCACACACTTTCAGATGCATCGTAAGGGTTTTTTTTTCTTTCTTATATCAGTCGAACGATCTTTCTTCCTCTCCGCGTGTATGCGGTTAGCTCGTTGACTAGTTACTTTCCCGAAACAATGATCCTATCGCGGCTGCTGCGGCTACAGACGACTCGTTTGCAACCAACTTCCGATGTGCCGATTAGAAACGTATCTTAGACGCTTATTACGATGTAGTTCGTATTTATCGACGAATTTTATATTTATCGAGCATGTTTACAAATATTCATGCATGTACAGGCGTGCGCTAGTAGAGAGTCATTAAGAGACTCATTCGTGAATCGTGCCACGGTCAAGGCTTTAACCGAGTCGATCCGAGAAAAATGTTTGATATCATAATGTACAATAATTGTATAAACGTTACTTTAATGCTGCTGTGCTGAGCGGGCGCGCGCCTGCGTGGATATGTGTAACATTAAATCTAATAAGTATTTTCATGCTGCAGAAGCCAAGAAAATAGTGAACTAAGCTAACCATTAATTTTGCTCGTTGCGCACACGAGTGAATTAAAATTTTCCAAGGATCTGCATTTTGAATGTAACCAAGTACCACACTTTCTAAACTAATTAACGGCCATTTTTCTAGCCACCAGTCATAAGGATTTTTTGTTCTACAAAATCTGAACTGCCGCATTATCTTTGTATAGGAATATATACAAATTTTTTTTTATATTCACGCAGCGATAAGATCAACGGCATAACTGTAAACAATGGTCGAATGATTTTTCGAGGAGAATTAGAAAGCGTGATAGAAGAAGTTCAATCATTTTCCTTATTTTCGTGATCTATGCGATTTATTGCATATTCGATGAACGAATATTTCAAACATTCAGTGTGCTTCACAATCGCTCGAGCCCATAAAATTAATTATACAGCTGAGTTAGAATTTTCGATGTAACATCCGTACGAATATTATTCCATTTTAACGAATGAAATTTTACGAACAGGTGGACCCAAACTGTAGTTTCTAGATGCAATTTTCTACTCATAAATTTTAACTTTCAAATAATCACAGCTATTAAAATTCAGCAAAAAGTATATTGAAATGAATTGCTTTTCTGTTCGAGGTAGTTACTCATTCGCGAAAAAATGACACAAGAAAATAAATTTAATTTCTTTTATTGCATATATTGCATGATTGAGTACAATTTTCATTAGTCTTACTTTAGATTATGTTCACGATTCATAACTTTTTCGATGATTTAGGTAACCATAATAATATTAAAAAACGAAATTATTCGAACTTTCTCTGCAATCAGGAAGTGTTTATTGTTCTGTGCGTCAAGTTTTGAAAAATATCAACATAATTGAAGCAATAGACCTAAGAAATAGTGAGAATTTTATCATTATTCGGGCAATCGAAATATACCGCAGCAAAAAATTTAATTTGGTATGCATGGAGATAGTTGAGTATAAATTGCGTAAAGATTTACTGTAAAAAGTTATTCAAATATGCTATGCAAGGTATGGTTTGCAAGAATGAAATGCAATAAAAAAAATTGAAGCATTTTTTTAAAACAGTCAGAATTTAGGGCAAAAACTTTCTAATTAGAGCTAGATAAAATTTCAGAATTTCTAATTGAATAAGTGGTCGTTGTTTAGCATTGGCAAGGACGTGACTTTTCATAACATTCAGTTTACGTACGCGCATTGCCAAGTGCGAAGCCCGTAAATTGTAGATTCGAGAGCGAAAAGAAACAAAGAGCGAAATAACGACAGTAGCAATGGAGGCATTGAAAAAGCATCAGGAAAAGTAAGAAGAAACAAATGTTTTTCAACTCATGACGAGTTCCGTTAACTTCTTTGTGCACTTTCTTTTGAAAAAAGAAATAGTATATATATGCGAGTCGTAATCGCATGTCCATCTGTTTTCTGCTTTGTAATACATTCTAAGCTCTACTGATTTTTCGTAGGAAAAATTTTCAATTTAAGAGCTTCCATCGCTTCTATAAGATACGAATATTATCATCATTACACTCATTACGTGTATTTCTGATGTAACTGATAAAATAAGCATTTTTAATTATTATTTTCTTTTAATCGACTTTTATTATTCATCATCAAAAAATAACCGGATCAGCTGATCAGCATTAGATTAGAAAATTTTCTCAATTGTACGTTTATAAAAATCAGTACTCGAGGAATCGTGCAAGCTACCACAGACTTCTTACATCCTCATAAAATTTCAATAGGCCACTTCATTAACGCGCTTGAGCAGAATTTCCTCATTCTAGACTTCAGGCAAGCTTAGGAAAGTATAATTCACGCGAAAAATAAGTACCCACACGCATGCAAGTTTCGCTTCGTCCAATTTCCTAAGAGCAGCAGCTGCTGCTGTGCCGAGTTGTGCGTTGTAAAAGTGAAAGCGTAACTAGCAGTTATTAGATTAATTTTCGAGAGGTCGGTGCTGGTTGCAACTGCGGCAAGTAAAAAATTCGATTGTCTCGAATTGCTCGGCTCTATCGTACGATGCATACGTTGCTCGGTCATTATAACATTCGGTGCATCGATGCGTTTTGTGCACATCCTCGACAGGTTAGGTTAGGGTGTAAGCGAGCACATACAAAACACAGTGGCGGCGAATGACGGTGCGCAAAAAAAGCCCGCGAGTGGAATACGTAACGAAGATGGAATAAATTATTCCTTCGGTGTGCAGCGCATGTGTGCACCGTGCGTAGGCTCCTGCTGCTGCCTCGAGATTCGAGAAGAGCACGTTGTCGCGGCCATACGGCTGACGCAGCAACGAAGCAACCTACGCATATCCGATGTAAACAAACAAAGCGAGTGCGCTGCGCTCTGCGAGATGGCCCGAGTTCACTGTCTCTGCGTTTGTGCGCGTCTGTATATTGCGCGCGTGCGTGTGTCAGACCGTCAGACGGCTAGAGCCATCGGCCAAGCAGAAGCAGAGAAAGAGAGACGGAGAGCAAAAGACTTCGTCTGCGCCTACGTTCTGCTATACTGTCGCTGCCATTTTTAAAAGAAATGTTGGAAAGAAAAAGCTCGTCCAACCTGCTGCGCTGCGTGCGCCTGCTCGGGTTCGAAGCCAATAGAGGCAAAAACAAAGATGCGAAACCAGACAAGAGGTTCGGCGCGCGCGCGAAGCTTTTCGTTTCGTGCGAAGGGCAGCAAGGGATGAGTGTGAGTACGATATACGCAGTAAATGCAACCTTTTCGAGGCCGTTCGATCGACTGGAGTTCACACATACATACGTATAGCTAGACTGCAGAGAGTGTATAATGCTCGGTTTAGTGCGTAAGCTGCGAGGCATGTTATTGGCCTATGCACGCACATATATCGATGCCGTTGTTCGCGTAGTCGTTTTCTTTGTCTACGGCAGCTAGTGCACTCGTGCTGTTTGCGTACCTTAGGCGCCTGCACTCGTTCTGAAAGGAACTTTTACTCGCTCGACGCGTCTTGGAAAGAATTTGTTGATCTACGCAGCTGGCGATTTACGAGCCAGTGACAAGCTATCAATAAGACCTTTTTGCAAGTTCAAGCTGTGCGTCTACTTGACAGCTGTAGCTGGCACAATGACATATCGCGCGATGGACTCACCTGAGCAGGAGAGATAGAGTTTTATGGTTGGCGCATTCGAGAATTTTTTTCTTCTCCCAACCTTCGACGGTTTTGACCCATTCCTCGCCAGGGCTGCGCCAATCCTTCGATATAAACGGCATCTTGTCAAGAGCTGAGCTGCCTTTGGACTAGTTTTCTAGCTGCTGTAATTGCTGCTGAGACGAGTCGCGCGGAAACACAGTAGCGAGCACCTTGTTTTATTGGATATTTTTATTGGTAAATTTCGCGTACGCGCGCGCTCTCGTGCAGTCACCCGTCCGCGTTTTACACGAATGGCCAACAGCGATACGTTGGTGTTTTCTTTCGTCGCCAGCTCGCTCGGACGTTGTTGAACTGCAGGCGGAACGACTCGAAGACCGCGACGACAAAGGAGCGCGCGCGTACCGCACTAGCAGCAGTAGCAGCACCAGCACAAACTGGTGCCCCCCGCGCGTGGAAAGCCTCCTTCTGGAGACGAGGTTCCTGCTTCTCGCACGACTACCGAGCCGGACAGATCCGAGTCCTCGAGGTGGAATCGGGCGCGAGAACTGGCAGCAGCGACGACGATGCCTTAGCCACGAACTGCCACTGGTGCTGGGCTCGCGCGAGACTGTATCGCTGTTGCTGCACGACGACGACGACGACGACGAGAGCGCAAGCGAGAGTCTGAATTGGTCGATGCTCGGCGCGAGCGTGCTCGGCCTGTGTTCGTGCTGTCAGACTGCCAGACTATATGCACACGCATACGCGAGAGTACCTCTATACGGTTGGGCTGCAGTGTATGTGTGCACTCTCTCCAGCAGCAGTTTTGCTCGCATCGACGGCCATGCGCATGGCTTTGATAGAATTGCGCTGCGTGTGACGTCACGCTCCGAGCGCGACTAATAATGTAATGCAGTCGAGCGGCGATCAGCTGAGTTGTGCCAAGCTATTTTCTAGCTGCATTCGCTGCATCTCGAGCGGATAGTGGCGCCATCCCTCACTGCTACAATACTTTTTCTCGGTACAGAGTTTCATTACCGCTCGATGGTACGCTCGCGATATTGCGCGTTATTATACATCCGAGGATATCGCCGCACTGCGTTTGCGCCAAAGATAAAGCATACACTTACATATAGAGTAAGACGGCCTGTACAACTTTTTGACATCCATTGACTTAAATTTAATAAAAATACAAGTCAAAGCTTTCATTCATCAAGTTGAAAGAATCAAATGAAAAGTATGAATAAATTTTGATCAGAAAATCTGATATAAAAGTTTGTTATGAAGAGTAAACGATCAATGTGACACTTCCAGTCCATTCGTTGCACCATGAGTGGCAGCACCTTGATCGTTTCATTTTATGTTGGAGTTTCGTTTCAATCAAATTTTCAAATATCGTAGCGTATGATAATAAAGTTCAGTCATGAGATGCACTCAATTTCGCAAGCTCGTAATAACTAAGGTTAGAAGAAAGCAAACATGTGTTTGCGTGTTTACGATCGACTTCAGAGTTCAAGCAACGCTGAACTGAACTTATCTATCACAATTGTCAAAGATATTTTGCTCTAACCGTTATGAAACCCCAAAAAATTAAAGCTGGTGACCTCGTTTTTCGAGCATGGGCCAATGGCTCGTGTTGATCATAATATTGTTTACGTCATTTTTACAGTATAAAAGCAACTGGTAAGAATTACTTTTCAAAGAGGCTATTTTAACCTAGAGATTTTACAAATCTGTCATTGCTGTGTGTGTGTAGTGCAAGTGTGCTACCCCCCGTAAACGACCTGACCAACGTAGGGACAGTATTGTTCGACGAGAGCGATCTGAGCAAACGTTGCTGGACCGATGAAGAGTTGATTGTTTTGAACGGTCGCCGAGAGTTTCAAAATCTTCTTCCAAAAGTAAACATTTTTTTAAATTTTGTCTTGCGAGAATAATTGAAATAATTAAGTAACTGAGAACGTTTCGGCTTTTCAGTTTGACAATTCTAGTAGTATTCAAAACGACCAGACCATTGCCGATATTCTGGATTATTTCAATACCTGCCTCGAGCACGTTAATGAATTATCAACCGGAAACGCTCGACGATTAATGCTTCGATCTTTAGCGGATGCCATGGGGGGATATCTGCATACTTACATTGCTCCGTTGACCAAGGCAGCCTTCTATGCAGGAAAAGTCAAGTATTGTAATACGGTCAAACTTTTTCGACTACTTGTAGAAATTAAAGCTTTTTTGATTACAACTGGAGAAGGTTGGATGAGTCCTGAACATATTGATTTGTTCAGTAACGTTACTCCTCTAAATTTAACATTAGATCCGGTTGAAAATGCCTGTGATCTGTTGATTTTTAACTACACGGGTGAGGAGCTTACTCTATAAGCTTAACGCACTAACTAATATAAAGTAATAATAAAGTGATAAAATTATTAGCAATGCCGCGGAAAAAGTGTTTAAAAAGAAAGCGTAGAAAAAAGAAGAAGCGATGGTTGAAGAAAAGACACAAACATTACAGAGGTATCAACATTTGTTATAAATAATTCGCCTTTTAAGTTATTATGAAATTATTTGAATTGTTTTTGCACAAGGTGCGTCGTGCAAAAATGGAAATTTTCGAAATACTGTACAATCGTTTGAATTATATCTACCTTATTTTGATGACGATTCAAGACCTAATAGGTGACTAATGCATATGTTTCAATTATCATCATATTTTTCTTTGTTGGGTAACACGTGCGATTTTCAGCATTGCTCTACCATTAAAAGATCGCCGGTTGTGGTCGCTGTACAGCGAAGAATCAGTTGCTGTATTGACTCGATACTACATCACTTCTGTCTATTGCATAATGTCGATGAACAATTACAAAGAAAATTTGGCAGGGTTTAATAAGAAATTTCACGAGTGGTTACTGCAATCAGTACGCAATAAAACATATCCTGTTAAAAATACTTGCCCCATTAAAAAAATTGAATAAATTTGCGATTTTTCGTAAAGGTATATCCACGATTAAAGGATGATAGATGGTATCCAGCTTTCGGAGAAATATTGAGAGTTATGGCACTTCTCGCAGGTATAAAAAAACGAGCTTAAAATTTTATAGGTAATTTTTCATTAGTTTTCAAAATTTTCAAAATTTTTAAGTAATATCGGGAAATAAGTATGATGACAAAAAATCTTCGCCTATACCGATTCGTAATCAAACCCTCGATGATACGCCCAAAGAAAACATTACACCAAACGAAGGTAGAGAATATTAATTTGTGGCTCTCTGCATACCTGCTGAAACGAAAAATAATTTTAGATTCGAAAACTGCATCCGAAACTTTCAATACATCTCAGCTAATCGTAATTGCGCTATTGACTGCTGCGATTGTCTGGTTTCTCGTTTGCTGTAGTCTTTGCTGTTATCGGTCTCTGCGCAAACATTCCTCCGAACTTTCGCCTTGCAAATCGCCAGTACCTCGGTGAGTCTGCGCAATTCGAGTCTTTTCTGACCAAATATACATTCTTTCTTGGTATCCTCGAGCCATACCATGTTTACATTGTCAGGGTGAACGTTCTGTACGAGAATCAAAATTTCGGTGATCTGGAAACTTGCCCATCCGCGTCTTCCAGCAAAAGTATGGGCAAAAAAATCAAAGATTGGTGGACGGATAATGTGCACTGCTCTGGAAAATGCAGCAAACAGCACGAGAACGATAAATTTTCAGCTTACAAATATGAGAGTCGAGAGACTATTCGCGATCGAAAGCAGAAAAAACTGTCCAAGTACGTTATAAAACGTTTAATTTAACTTTGATTTTGAGTTTTTTAAATATTTTTAGAAAACGAAAGACCCGACTAAAACACAAAACTTCAATGGATACTCCGACCAGTTCCTCTTGCATAGTGCATTATCAAAAGGTACCGGGAGATTGTCTACGTTTTTATTTTTCACGTTCTATTCTTCTTTAATACGAAATACTTTTTCAGAGAGTTTGCTACATGAGAGATTCGTCGAGCTCCGATGTGTCTGACAGCAGCTTTAGGCACTGAAAATAAATCGTATTGATTATTTTTAAAAAGTATTAGATACTTTTAAGAGGTGTAAAACGTATCATCGACGTTGAGAATTCTGTTTTAATTCTCTTAAATTTGAATTACAAAAAGTAGATTCAACGAGCCCATCATGTTTATGTATCAATCATAGGTACAATTTGATTTTATACCATGGTGTACAGCTATAAACACGAGAAACATGTTTAGTGTTTATAACCTTAGTATATAAATTTTAGAAAATACTTTTCCGGGCAATTTTTCTGTAATGTTTTCACCTTAATATTCTTCAATTGATATTGTAATGGTCGTTATTTTCGTATCGCTTACACTTTATGATCCTTTATTTTTGAATTCATGTACTTACTTTATATGACGGTAAACAATTTTTATAAAATGAATTTTAACTGCATCATTTTCAAAAAGTATTTATGTATGCTATAATCTTAATGAAGATTTCATCATGGTCAAACAAGAGGTGGAAAAGAAGATAAATAATCGATTGAAAATTCATCCTCTCGGCTCGACTCGCTCAACTGCTGTACGATAACATGCACTCGCATCCCTTTATTATTCTACCAAGACGTATATTAGTATTTTGAATCATAACAGTATGTGTAAGCGGGAACTGCAACTTGTTGCGACGTATATAGCAGAGACGAAGACAGGCTGCTGCTGCTCTGCCTTGCACGCAGTGCACATATCACTCGAGTGTATCCTTTCTGAAGTATACCGAGCGACGAGCTCGCTTCTTTACGCATAGAGCAACACACGGTGAAGTCTCGTTGGCTGTGAAGGAGCTGCACGAGGAGCGGATTGCATTTATAACATAACAGACAAAGTTATCTCCTACTGGAAATTTCCTTCCCCGAATAAATGCGTCTATACAGTTATACTTGCGAGCAAGATCCACGACAAAGGTACATGTAAGCGGGTATCTATGTATATGTTGTATTTTGTATAGCTGCAGCGGCGGCGGTGGCAGCAGCCCCCAGGTGGCTGTGTCTGCTGCGCCGCTCGCACACTACACAGCCGAGTAGGCGCGTGCCGAGCGCGCGCGAATCCTATCTACCGTTCCGCGCGCACATGCAAGTATATATACGCACTATATACCGGAGCTAAGCCGGGGGTCGCTTCTCCCGCTTGTGCACTTGGCTTCAGTATAGCGCAAAACGTCGAGCCGAGCGCGTCACGCTCCTTTCGTCCGTTTAGCGAGGCGATTCCTTTTGCTGCGGCTGTTGCCGGCATTCTCTGTCCCGATGATATAGATATACCAACCTTTTCTACTGCCATTTGATAAATTTTGCATTTTCATACTCGATTTGTGTACAACGTGCGATCCAGTTCTGCTGGAAGCTTATTTATAATAAAAATTCTCAATAGCATTGCAGTACTTTTCTTCCCAATACAGGAACTAAAAATTTAGTACGTAAAGTGTGGAGTGTTTACAAAAGCTCGAACGCCTTCAGTGATTTCGGTGAGCGCTAATTAATCGTCGGCCAGCCACGTGCGACTCGGCTTATATAGACCGTACGAGCCGGACGAACAGGTGTTCGACCAATTTAATTGTTTATGATTTACTTGACAAAAACTCATTTTGATTTGAATTTTAGTCAGACGCGTTTGAATATTCATCAATTCAGCTCTGAACGATTACTTTGTGAGATACCACTCACAGGTATAATTGACAGCCACAGCTTATAAATAACGT